ATGTGGTAATATTCAATTTAAGCAGGTTTTTCTAGTTGTTCATATTTTCCAATTACGTATATTTTAAATCGGAATGCATCATGTAATACGAATATATAGGTAAATGTCCATTTCGAAACAGTTGCATGCACGTGATCTCTACCTGAAAGTGAGCAGTTACCAAGAGAACAAGGGTATATACTGAAATAAAAGATAACTCTGTGACACTACATAGAGATACCACGAATTGTAATGTAAACGAGAGTGTGTAGTTTGTTCATCACATGACACCAAAATTTGCTCAATTATTTCGTAAAAGAGACGGAATCTTACCCTGCCGTGGCTGAACCACCGGTGGCCTCGCCATACATATGATGCGGAACAGCCCAAAAAATAAACGAAGAGAGAAACAACATCCTACACCACACTTTTCTGTGTTGCTACCACAATTAAACAGACCCAATAACATGTAAAAAACGTCTCTTGTTCCTCCTGTTCAGGCTAAAAACAGACATGTAAAGCAGTGGTCCTGCTTCTCCCCCAATTTTGTCTGTGGAAGACAATGCAAAAAGGAAAACCCACTCCACTTACCCGGATCTCTCCCTTCCCTTCTCTTTTCTTTCTTTTTCGTTTTCCCTGTCTGTCTCGAGTCCCTTTTCCCTCCCCGCAATGGCACGTGCAATTTGTTCATTGTGCTTACATTATTCGCGTTGCCCTCCCACCCCCCGTACGTAGTTACTGTCTCGCCTGGCTCAGCTGAACCCCCGGTCACCCCCGGTCACCCCCCCTTGCAATGTCACATGTGATTCCAGCTTATAAGGTTCACATTCTAAACTTGATCTCAGCTCTTCGTGAGTCACGGCAAACCCTTGGAACCTAGTATATAAGAAAAGAGTATTCGCATCTGGACACTGGTGAATTATATTGTGATGCACTTTCCTGGCAAAAGTGAGATAAAATAAACTTTATCTATCTATCTATCTATCTATTAACTCATTAGATTTCTGATTTTATTCTATTCATAGTTTAAAGAATCTAAGTTAAGGGAAAATACCACACACACACACACACAAATACACATCCTTTGACGTAAATGGATAGCTTTGTCTCGTCGATATTATAATACCTGTACAGCATATCCAGCGTTAACGTCCGTTTACCTCTTTGTTTATTTTATTTATCTATCTATTCCTTAATTCATTGTACTCTATTTCATATTTTGCATTATTCTATTTCATTCAATCCATTCCCTGTCGTAGTGGTAACAGAAACAAACAAGAATTATTATCACCATGAAAATCACCGACAAGCTCAACCAAAACCATCCAACGTACTCCTTCGAGTATTTCGTACCAAAGACCACCCAAGGTGTCCACAACCTGTATGACCGTATGGATCGCATGTATCAAGCAGCCCAGCCGGCCTTCATCGATGTCACGTGGAACGCAGGAGGCAGCAACTCCACAAACAGAAACAAGAATGCAGCAGACGGCGGCACGACGACCAACGAGATCGTGTTTCACGGCGCAGAGTGTGCTGGGTCTGGAGACTTGCATGCACCTGACATGCACTAATATGTCGCTAGCGGCAATCGACGCTGCTCTAGAACAAGCACATGCCTCAGGGTGCCATAACATCCTTGCCCTAAGGGGCGATCCGCCAAGAGGCCAGCCAAGCACTGCTAGCAGCAGCGAGAGTGGCAGCAGTGGCGGCGGTAACGGGAGCAGCGACGGGGACTGCAATTTCAAGTTTGCCGCCCAACTGGTCAGATACATTCGTTCCAAATACGGTAACCACTTCGCAATCGGCGTGGCAGGGTATCCAGAAGGGGACGGAGAACAAGCAGATCAGCGGCTGCTACTGCAGCATTTGAAAGAAAAAGTCGAATGTGGCGCAGATTTCATCATCACACAGATGTTTTACGACGTGGACAACTTTCTGCGCTGGGTGCACGGTCTGCGTGAGGTCGGTGTTACGGTTCCTATAATCCCGGGGATCATGCCGATCTCCACGTACGCGGCGTTTTTGAGACGCTGTTCCTGGTGCGGCGTGCGCGTGCCAGACAATTTTTTACAAAGACTAGCGCCCGTCAGCGACGATGACGAGCTGGTAAGAGAAATAGGTACGCAGCTAGTAGTGGACATGTGCCGCCGACTGCTGGAGAGCGGTGTTGTGTCGCATCTGCATCTTTACACGATGAATCTGGAGAGACCTCCGCTGGTCATCCTGGAACGGTTGGGTCTGTTGCCAGAGGCCTCCGCTGAGCAGTCCATTGATACTTTTACGAACGAGCCGCCGGCTGTCGTTCCTTGGCGCAGATCTCTGAATCCGCAGCGCAGAAACGAGGAAGTGCGTCCCATCTTTTGGAAGAGCCGCCCTTACAGCTACGTAGCGCGCACATCGCAATGGGCGGCTGACGAATTTCCGAACGGTCGTTTCGGTGACTCAAGCTCACCGGCGTTCGGTGACCTGGATCTGTGTGGATCTACGTTATTGCGTCAGAGTGCGCAGCGTTCGTTAGAACTGTGGGCAATGCCGTCGAGCATTCGCGATGTCGCAATGTTGGTAGTCGCGTACTTGCAAGGAGAACTGAGGTGTCTTCCATGGAGTGACACGCCAGTGAGCAGTGAAGTTGACGTCATCCGCCGCCAACTGATTGCATTGAACGAACAGCAACTGATCGTTACCATCAACTCGCAACCGCAGGTCAACGGTCTGCGTTCCAACGTCAAAGGGTTTGGATGGGGTCCGTCTGATGGGTACGTCTACCAGAAGCAATATTTGGAGTTTCTGTTGCCACGCGCAAGATTCGAGAGGTTACAGCAAGAGTTGTCCAAGACCAATGAGACCACTTCGAGTTTGACGTACTTGGCAGCAGACTCCCATGGTGGCTGGTGGTCGAATCAGCCTGACGGTGCGAAAGCCACTGCGGTCACATGGGGTGTGTTCCCGGGACGTGAAGTGTTGCAGCCGACCATTGTTGAGAAAATCTCATTTTTAGCATGGAGAGATGAGTTCTATAGAATCTTACAAGATTGGCGTGATATATTTGTGCATGCTAGTCCTGATGGCGACCAGTGCGATAACGGCAGTGCGCAAAGAGAGAATCCTAGTGCAAAATTGATGCAATTGATGATTGATGACTATGTTTTGGTAAATCTTATTGATAATGACTTTGTGTCAGTTGATGATAAGATTTTTGAACTTTTGATGAAAATTTGAATTGCTTTGCATTGCATTGCTTTCCTTTCCTTTCCTTTCCTTTCCTTTTTGTGTGCGTGCGTTGTGGTGTCTGTTTTATATCCTATTAAGAACACAAAAACGACACAAAAATGAAAAAGAGAAGTTAAATTGGCGATATAAAAAGGGGATGGTTATCATTTTATTTTACCGTTTCTCTCTTTCTTTGTCGCCCTTAATTACGTTTTTGATTCTGCTTCTGTGTTCTGTTTTTGTATTTCTCACGATTGCTGTTTTTCCTCCCGTTCTCCTTTGATCTCGTCTGGTTTCTGCGCCAGGGGGCTAAAGACCAAGACTCTAATGGAGAGAACAAAAGTGAAAAGGGCAATCAAGCAGAGACTTCTCCGCGAAGATCATCAGGATGCACCAGAAACAGCTGCACCGCACCGGCTGCTCTCTCTCTCTCTCTATTGCTCATTCACACTTAGTAATATATAACATAAACAACAGCAAAAGAAATGAATGCGGAAAGAAAGTTTGCTCTGTTTTTTATAGCTTAGTTCTCTCTAGTCTAGTCTAATTTAGTTTACTGTGCTTTTACTTTTACGTTACTTTAGTTTTTGGGGTGAACTCTACATTTTGTTTGAGTTGGATTGAAAATTTTTTATAACATAATATTAACCCATAGTGTAATGTTATGGAAATGTATGTGTTTTCTATATTTTCTGGTCGATTCTTCACAGCTTAGCATGGCAAGAATAGAATAGATTTTTTTTTTCAACTAGCCTATCCCATCCTAACCTGTCCCGACTTCCTCTATCCCTTTCTCCTAGCCCACCTTTATTTTCGACGGGGATTCGATTCCTAATCCTTTAACAGATTTTATATATACCTCTTTTCCCTTCCCCTCTATTCTCCCTCCCTCCCCCCCCCCTGATCCCCGGCCTACGTCGATATCTTCCGGTCCATACATGTTCTTATATGCTTCAAGTATATAAAGATTTTAGCATTTAATAGTGTGCGCTTGGTTATCACACTACTATACCTTACCTTACCTTACCTTATGTAACTATATAAAATTGCTTCGCATTGCATATTATTCATTATCTGATGCTTGCTTTCGATCCCCATAGTAGTTCCTCCGCTAGGGTTTAACGAACAGCAACCACTTTCATCAGATAATCTAATTCACAAATCTAAATATATACTTTATCCATATATATATTTATATTTATATATATATATTGAAGTATAGAACAAAACAGTTTATTATACAGTTATAGTCAAGGTCCTGGATTGCAGAAATTCAAATGGTCGATGTTTGGACTCTAAATCATGAATGATGTCAGAAATCAGCACTGGTGATACCTTAGCAAGCATTTCAGAAAAAATAGACGAAGACGCTTCTCACTCACATATCCATCCTCATGTTTTAAGCTTATCTCATCAAAAACCTGTCGCTTCCATAGTAGGAAAAATAACTAATCTCTTCGAAGTAGGTCCGAGCACTAATGGTTTCGGTTCTATTAGCACCAGCTCAAGCTCAATTTCAAATTCGAACTCAAACTCAAACATAAGCTCGATTTCGATTTCAAACTCAAACTCAAATTCAAGCTCAAAGAATAACATTACTTGTGAAAAGAAAAAGAAAAATACAGGGTCTCTCCACGGTTCTACAGGTAAAGTAGCAACAGATAAAGCTAAAAAAACTCCAACTTATAATTGGAATTCACTTCCGAAGTTTGGTGGTCCCATCGTGCCGCAACAGCATTCCATATCTTCAATAAAATTGCCTGTGTCCGGTGCAATTAAAAGGGTATATTATGATCCTCACTATAATAAGAATTTTAACATGATGAACATCTTCCTGTCATTTAATATTGACACTGAGAAGTGCGATTCTCTAGTCCATGCCCGGAAAAGACTGCAATCTTTCGTACATTTCCTAACCCAATATTTGAAAACAAGGCAATACATTTTCCAATGTTACCCATTCAATATGAGAACTACTCCCGTAGGGAAAATTGCCTCTGTTCAAACGAATAAATACGAATCGTTTGTCGCAGGCCATGACTACAGTGATGCAGAATTCTTATTGGAACTGTGGCAATATAAAGCACAGATTGCAATGTTACAAGCAAATTCTCTGTTCTTTTCCCATGATGTCGTGGAATACCTGTTTCAAAAAAAATTAGTAGTCTCTAACAAGAAAAATGATGGCTCAACTGACGATGAGGTAGCTTATACTCTCCCTACAAGCGATAACATTGAAGTAGTCATTCTTCGAAATTTGATGTCGCAGCCAATCTCATGGCAACTTGCCTACGATGAACAGACTTTAAATATTTGTGACTACTCTCTTGATTTCTCGCCTTGGACTGCCAAGGATTCAGAAGTATTGCAATTTTTATCAAATCTTGATAAACCAATATCCGATACAGTAAGAGTGGTCACTGACTATTCACAATTGAAAAACTACTCTCTCCAAGAAATTAAAGATTCTTCACTAGATTGCATGGGTAGAAAGCTAAATAATGACAATCATGAAGAAGTAAAATTCGGTGACACTTTATTAGGGGATAAGAATTATGAAGATATGATAAAAGAAAATTCAACTACAGCAGCATCAACCGATTCGGAAACTAATTCGACTCAATCATCGCATTCTCATTCTAATTCATCGCATTCCCATAATTCTTCTTATACTCATACTAATTCTCATGCTCACTCCAACTCTCATAATAATATTTTGAAGCATCACCGTCATATACTACCATTTTCAGAAAATAAAAAAACATCAACAGATAAACCAAAGAGGAAAAACCTAAATTATGAAATCCAAAACAAATGGCTGGAAGATTATTTTACCAAAGTTTTAAAGAATTATAGAAAAATAGATTTGCCTACCCAGTACATTATACCAAATGAAATTAAGACAACCGTGTTGGAAATCGCAGAAAAGAATAGAGCAAGCTTGAAAAACTCTCTGTCATTTGCCAAAAAATACACAAAATTGATACTTCCTTTCCCTGATAATTCTATTCCAGTGGTATATTGTCCACATTTCTGGTCGGAACTGTCAGTTGATAAGTGGCACTTTTTGTTAAATGAAATTATAAGATGCACAGAACCTGGCGGTTACGTGTTTGGGAATGTCTCCGATTTGAAGTTGACAAATATTAATTCAGACTCATCTTCGAAGAACTATTCAACCACATTCGCCTCTACCATTGAAAGAGATAGATTCCTTGAAAATCTGTCATTAGAGGCAATTAACAACAAATTAACAGTTTATCCAACCAGACATTTGGAAAAATCATTTGAAGATGCAGGGTTTGTGAACATTAAATGCACAGTGCTTTACAATAAGACAGGAGATTTTACATCACCTGTCGGTTGTATCAGCGAATTATTAACTATGTTAGAATTTGATTATATGATCAGAAGCTTCTTTAATATTCCTCCTCAATCTCAATCTTCCTGTAACAATGCGGCTGTCTTTGAAAAATACGTTAAAGACCATATGTATAATGTCGAACCTGGCATTGGTGGTTTAAGATCATTGTTCATAGTGGCCCAAAAACCTTTGAATTAGGGTTAACTTTGATGTTCGTTACTAGACATTATATAATTTTTACATATCTATAATAATTAATGCATAATAAATTCATATATAGTCTTATTTCATTGTTCGTTCTAGTTCATCTGCCAATTTGGTGTCTTCATTCTTGATGATATCAATCAGCACGTCGGTTTCATTTGATTTATAAAATTTTGCTTCAACTTCACTAGCTAAGGAATATTCAGTTTGTTGCAAAGAATTCACAGTATCTTCATTAACTAGTACATAAGAAATTTCAGATCCAGGGCATTCATAATTGACATTCAATAATAATCTTTCCATAATACCTCTCAGACCTCTTGCTCCTGTACCTTCTTTTAATGAGATTTCTGCAACTTTTTTCAAAGCTTTTTCGGTAACTAACAGCTTTACTCCAAACTGCTTGAAGATATATTCATACTGATACAATAATGCATTCTTTGGTTCCCTTAAAATATTGTATAGATCTTCTTCTTTTAATGGTTGTAATGCTGTAATGATCGGAACTCTACCGACCAATTCAGGAATAATACCAAATCTAACTAAATCAGCGGGAGTGGTCAAATTCAATGCAGGAACTTTTTTCCCTTCACTAATTTCAACTTCTTCGATTCCTTTATATTCAGTTTCCCGCTCTTTATTCTCTATTTCTTCTTGTTCTTTAGGTTGATCTTTTTCATGTACTTTAGTTAGCTCTTTCATATTTTTGATTCTGTTAGCAACATGTTTATCTAGACCAACGAAGGCACCCATGATCATGAATAAAATATTAGAAGTGTCTATTACAAAGGTTTCGTCTTTTTTCATTGCAGTCTTGTTACTTTTATCATCCTTATCAACTTTTACTGGTCGTTTCACGGAAATTTCCACTTTATGTCCCTCAATTAATTTCAACAAGGATTGTTGAACACCTTCTCCAGATACGTCCTTTGACATAATGTTGTTAGTCGATTTAGCTAATTTATCGATTTCGTCTAATACAATAATCCCCTTTTCAGCTTTGGCAACATCGAAATCAGCATTTATTAATAATCTTTCAACACATTTTTCGACGTCATCACCAATATAACCAGCTTGAGTCAACTGGGTACAATCTGAAATTGCGATAGGAACCTCTAGCACCCTCGCTAAGGTAGTCGCAAGCAGAGTTTTACCTGAACCTGTTGGTCCAACTACCAACACATTACTTTTGCTCAGTTCTAAATCCTCGTCCTCTTTAAACGACTCTAATTGTCTACGCAGATTCTTCAACCCTGCCATAGCTTCGCTATTCAATTGGCTACCAGATATATTACTACCATTGCCAATCTCACTGTCTTTTTCCTTCAATTGCTCTTCCAAAGTTTGACGCTGTTTCAATAGATCAAGCTTTCTTTGTCTATCATGAATCCTTAGATAATGGTTATAAACAGCAACACTAAGAACCTTCTTACTATTTTCTTGACCAATAATATATTCATCTAGAAATAACTTTAAATCCCTAGGTATTGGTAACTTGGGCAGTCTATTTTTTGATAATTTCATGGATGCATTGGTCGCATAATATCTAATAATTGTAATACCTCTCATTTTTTTTGGGGCTGGCTCTCTTTCTCTCTGGCACACCTCAAACAATTAAAGCTAGACAACTAAAACTGTACAATACAATACATTGACTCAATCGTAATCATAAAGATCATAAACCACATTCACCATCATCATCTAGTCTAGTCTAGTCTACTTTTATACTTTTTAATCTATTCAATCCTCTAAGGCATCGAATTTCGAAATTTTGATCTAAAGTGAAAAAAAAAAAGTTTCAATAGCTCGATGAGCTAAAAAGCACTTCACGATTTTTAAAAAATGCCATTGGATTGAGCACATTAAAATGATGAACTTGTGTTGAAAATTAGGGCATGATGAATAGTTCACAATTCAGTGATAGTCAAACGACGTCTTTACATCGAATCCCAACTTTTTATTGTTGTTATTTATTACAATCAATTAATAAGAAACAGTCCTTTTATATTGGTTCGACACCTAATCCAGTTCGAAGATTGAGACAACATAATGGTAATCTGAGCAATGGTGGTGCTTATAGAACTAAACGAGAAGGTACTAGACCTTGGGAGATGGTCCTAGTTGTATATGGGTTTACAAGTAAAATTGCAGCTTTACAGTTTGAGCATGCTTGGCAACACGGCTATAAAACCCATTACATACCAATGGATGATAGGATAATGAAGAATGCTAATAGTGGTAGGACTGTTCATCATAAGTTGGGTCTAGTGAGACAGTTGTTGGCAAATGTTTATTTTAGGCATATGAATTTAAAAGTCCATTTCTTTAGCATGCCAATATTAGACGTTTGGAATTTAAATAAATTTAATATTAAAATGGGTTCTAATGAGATTAGTGTAGATGTGTCGCAGGTTTCTCAGGAAACAAAGACTAATTTAGAACAGGCTAGTGATGATGATGATGATAATGGTGCTTGTAGTAGAGATGAACGAAATCTTCAATTAGTGACCGAGTTGTATGATAATACCGTCACTAAGGAAAATGAAATTAAGGAGATTATTAAAGACATACTAGTTTTAGGTGAAAGGAATTGTAATTTATGTGGTCAATGTTATGATTATACCTCGGAAGATGATACTATGAAAATGCATATTTTTATATGTCCAAACTCAACATGTCATTATGAAGCGCATTTAAACTGTTTGTATGAAAAATTTATTGAAGAAGAATCAGGAATTGACTCAAAAAATATTCTTTTACCCAACTTCTGTATGTGTCCTGGTTGTCTAGACGAAATGAGCTGGTCTGATTTTGTTAAAATTTCAACTATGATTAAAAATTCATTTAGCAACTGAAATCTGTTGCGATCCTTATTACAGCCTGCTGCCTAATGGGATAGCTTATTGGCCCATGTGTAAAAATAAATAGCTAATAGTAGTGTATCATCGGTATTTATATTGTCTTATTATGCATAAAAATAATCTTACGAACTTAGAACCATTGCGATCAGTTACATCAAGTTGACGACGACTGGAATATATATGTATCTTTAAGGATAATGCATTACTGTGTATATAAAATGATATCAATTTTTAACATCAAGACAGTGTATTAATTATTTATGCAATGTGTAACTCAGGAACTTGGTTTAGGTTTAGTATACTGCACCTTCCGTTACAAAAAGCCTTGCTTCGTTCTTTCTGCACCAATTGGCTATATTCTTGGCACTTTTAAATATAACATCTTTATCCACAATCCCATTGTTACAAATCAGGTATAGTTCAAACGTTGGTGTCACCCATGCTAAACCCATAATATTAGGAGACTCTTCTTTTAAAAATGAGTTTTGCATATCTTCTGAAATATCAGGTTCCTGATGTGATTCTGGGCTAATACTCCATTGCATAAAATTGAGAATACTCTTGCTCAGTGGACCTCCAGTACTACCATTCATAATACTGTTATATAATTGTTGGTAATATGTTTTTAATTTCAATTCATAAGACGCATAACTTATTTCAAAATTTGGCATTTGATTTATAAACATGTTATGGTCTACCTCTGGTGTAATATACTGGACATGCTTCTTTGACTTATAGATGAAATGATGTACAAATGGTGCTGGTACATCACTCATTTTGAAACCATTATAAGTTGTTATCTTGTCCAACAAACCACTTTCTGTAAGTTCATTTATAAACGATTCAGCTAGAACTTTTAAAGGATGAAACATATCTTTTTGTGCAGATATTAAGACAAGAGCTGGGCAATTCTTGTCGTTATTACTATTCTTAATGTTAGAAGCAGAGGATGTGCCTCTACTAGAAGGCTTATTATTTTTGCTACTGAGGAAATTAATATAAGCATAAAGAAACCCGTTTGCATTGAATTTTGGGAAACAAATTGGAACCCATAACTCTTGATTATTATCCTGATTGTTAAACCTGTTGAAAATTAGGCATAAAAGCAAGTGTAGATCAGTAGTATGTAAAGTGTGACCCTTTGGTCTTAAAACACTTACTAATTTATTTTCAGGGTATACTAATAATCCATATAATAATGTACCTCTTGGTAGATCTGAATCCATTAATAAATTCTTAATCATTAATTCATGAGTTTTTTTCCTAATTGATGAATGCTTTAAAGTCAAGCATTGTAATGAACCTAAATATAAATCTGGATAAAATTTATTCGATATCATATAACAAATTTGATCTAAGTTCTCAAAATCTGAAACCTCTAAAAAATTTCTTAAATCAAAATTGTCCCTTTTATCAAATAATCTCAATATTTGTCTTTCAGAGATTGATGAAATTAAATATGAATATAAAAAATCTAATTGATCAATTAACTCAGTAGTAGTTTCACCTAATCTTGAATAAGCCAATAAGATAATTGGTGACCTATTCAAAAAGACAAAATTTGAATTTAAAAACTTAATAGTTTTCAATTCTTTTGAAGCATTAATTCTAAAGAAATGGATAATCGTATTAATCAAACCCATAATTGATACTAACTGTTCATCTTTCCCAAAAGTTGAATAGATTGGTTTGCCAGCAGAGGTTAAAAACAGAAAATTCTTATCATAATTTGAAATATCATCGTTATTTGATGATGAATTACTTGTAGTCAAAAATTCATCAGAGAATGGTTTAAATACATTTGGTATTTCATTGCTTACAAATGAACGTTTCCAACTATTAATATTATTTGACGTTGTAATGGAAGCCAATTCATTATAAAAATTATTATCTCTTGTGAGTATCGATGGTACACTTGAGCTTATAGTTTCAATATCATTGTAAACATGAGCACTATTAGATTGTGAAAGTGATTGCGATGGCTGTTGCAGTCTTGATTGGAATAGCGTTTGATCTAAATTTATTGAAGTTGTAGGATGTGATGAAGATGAAATCGAGAGTGTTAAAGTATCATTATTCTCATTTAAATTTGGTAACCTTTCAATCGAACTTTTAACTTTAATAGGTCTATCGATATAGGATTCATCAAATTCCATTATTTCTGGTATCTTTAAAGTAGAGGTGGCCTTTTTCAGAAGGCTTTCTTTGGTTCAACGTTGAAGTCTTGTTTAAATATAAGGTAAATATCGAATTTCATAAAGGGTACGGCCTTTATAAATTGTTGTTACAAGAAGCTGATGGTGATGAGGAAGATGAATTAGATGATGATGATGATGTTGTTGTTGAAGTTGCTCTAATTGTGAGGATGGAGTCAGGACATTTATAATATTTTTATTTCCATTAGAAGTTGCTGGTTATTTAAAGTATATATAGGGTACAAATACGATTATTTAAATTAGCAGATGCAATAAAGGGGCAGCAGAGCGGAACTAGTTTACTAGTATAAGCTTCCTCTTCTTGGGTACAACGACATCACAGAGTTAGTACGTTGTAATTCATTTTGTAAGTTCATTAGATGTATTGATATTGGATTGTATGGATCTTCATCTTCATCTTCATCTTCAGATAATATTGTTTCTGAATGATGGTAAATATGCAAGATGCTATTGTGATCAGATTCATTATCCATGTATGCTACATTATAGTACTGTCTGTAGACTCTTCTTGCTCTGTCTCTCCTTTCCATGAGATCTGTCATTAATTCCATTAGATTTCCTTGAGAATATGTGTCGTAAGTATATAATTTATCGTTAATCTGATGCAGGTCATTTGTAACTTGAACAAGGTAGTTGTAAGTGTTTAGAGATCCTAATAAACTTGAAATATCACTAGGATAACATTGATCTCTTAATTCTTCAGTAGTGTAGATAACTACTGAGCTTTCCATTGTGCTGGTTTAAAAATTGAAATAAAATATAGTCGTTATTGCTGTTGTTGTGTGTATCAAGATATTTAAAAACCTGAAACCAATACCAACTTATTTAAATAATATCAAAACTGACAAACTGACAAACTAACAAATCTTAATATATATATACGAAGTCGAAGTACGAAGTACGAAGTAGTCGAATATGGTTGCAATGTAGAATTTTGCATCACCTGAATGCAACAAAAGAATTAAGCATTATCCCAAGGAGTAACATGAAGCTGGTGACCGCTACTTCCTACCTCCCATATCTGCCACAAGGGACAA